GTGTAAATAAGGGAGCCTTATTCGTAAGTTTAGAACATAATCAAAAGTTTACTTGTCGCCGTTTAGGAATGTCAAACTTTGCCGCAACTCATTGAAGTCGTAATTGCACGGTTCGCCGCAATATTGTGCCGAAAGTTAAAATATTTCACGTAGAAAAGCGCTGCGGAATATAATTAATTTTTTTTAAATTTTGATTGCGGCAACCACCTACACCTTTATTTTATGATCGCTAAAGTCCTCCAATAAATTTTAAATGTTTTCTAGGAGGCTTACATGGTAAACTTCTACAAGTTATCTGCTTGTAAACTTGCCTGGCAAGATTAGTATATACACCGTGCCCGAGAAAAGTTACGCTATCAAAGAGATTTTAGAAATGGAAATCCCTGGGTTTTTTTGATTTTTGAAACATTTGTTTTAAAATCGGATTTTTCGATTTTACGAATTATGATTTTCCCTCCTAAAACCAATGGGCACACACACCAACTTTTAAGGTGGAGTTTTTTTAATCCGAAACTTCGTATTTGTGAAAGGATCATCAACTTCATTTTTTTTAAATACGGCCCAGATGTTCCGATATATTCTTACAGCCCTTTTTATCCTGAATTCAATGATCTATAGCACTTTATGGTTTAATTGCGGTTTAGCGGTTTTTTTCGGGCTAATTAAGAAAATTCCTATTACGGACCTATACAAGATTTTTTTGGAAGAGCACGTAAAAGAAAAAGGGTAATGGAAAGAGCGAACTATAAGATATTAATAGTGACAATGTTCGGAGATGGAGAAAAAATATATTGGGAGGGTAATGGGAATTGAAATGAAAAGGGAAGTTGCATGAAGAGTCAGGACACTACAAAAGACAAAGGGAATGAAGAATGCGATTCTCAAAGTGGCTGAGAAAGAAGTATAGGTATAGGAAAGGAACAAGAGCAAAGAAGCCAAGGATATCATTTCAAATAATTGAAAAGATGGAAGGGGAAAGTATAAGCGGTAAAATACGGCAGAGGGAACAAAGAAATACCTACGACTGACCGATGAATTAAGAGAAACTAAAGGGGCGAGGTAGCAATGACTGCTAAATGAACGCAAGGAGATAGAAAAGCTCGATCGAATAGGAAGGCACGACATGGTGTTCAAGAAAGTAAGAAAACTGGTATGGGATAAAGGAAAAACGCAAAGCAAAGATGGAAAGGTGCTAACAGAGGATAACCAAGTACTGAATTGATGGAAAGAATATATGGAAAAGTAATACAAATGAAATGAGAATCTAAAACTAATAAATATAGAGGAAGATAAGGGTGGGAATATTTTGATGGCAGAAATAAAGGCGGCTATAATAGATATGGTAAGGCTGCTGGGATAGACGGGATAGTTTCAGCATGTAAAACCCGCTTAATGCCTTATTTTATAGCGACAGGTTTCCTTCCTCATGGATACAGCAAACAAGTTTATCTACTTTTGAACAAAATCTTCATGTACTCCTCAATGCCAACTGACAAAATGCATTGCTTAAATAAGTTCGAACTAAACTTGGCGCTCACCCATCTGCCAAAGTTATCTTTCCGCATTCCGATCTTGGATATGCATCTAATTTCCAATGAAGATTTATTCAAACTTTTCATTATGAAGTAAGTATCATTATTTGCTTTGTAAGTGATAGAAAAATCCTAATAAAATGTCAATATTTACATGTCTTATATAAACCGAGGTCGTAATGCTATTTATTTTCAACATTATACTTTGAAAGTCAAGTGAATCGGAATGTGATCACGTATACTAAAACCATAATTAATTACTTTTAGAAGCACATAACTCTACGTTCGAACAATATTGCCAATAACGCAATAATTTCGAATGTAAAATTTAAAGATATTTTAGTATCCTCCTCCTTCTGATGCAAAATGCCACCGATATTTCCTGGTTTATTTTAAACCAGAATGTCAAGTAAACAATCACCTTTATGTGTCACGGCATTAAATACACCAACACAAAGTCGATGGATCCACTCGAAAGCCTACGGAAATTACGTTTATAGGGAAAACGTTCCCGTTTATTGTATAGATGACATGACAATGTTGATAGAAGCGTCAGAGTAAGTAAATTTAGCTTCGAAAGGAAGAAAATGGAGCCTCTATTCAGTTATCAATTTGCACATTTATGACCCACTTTTAGTTAAATCGTTTTACATGACGGCAATATTACAAAAGAATCGGTTAATTAAAGAATGGGCAACCAATTAGATCATTCGGTCAGGTGGATTTATTACACCCCCGAACCGCCACGGATTGTTGCGTAATGTTTTGTCTTAGTCACAAATCAAATTCGCGGGATTAAATTTATGAACCGAATTAACTAATTCAAGGCCAAAAATCAAATTAATACAATCTAATAATGGATTTTTTCGAGCCGATTACACTAATATCAGTGAGAATCAATTACGATTCTGTACTAGTCCGGTCTTTATTATAATTGGAAAATAATTGAGACAAAGAAGTCAAAGCGCTTGCTATGTTTTCTATCCCTGAGGAATGGCATCCTCACCAGGCGCGTCCCCATGTGGCGGATGGGGAAACGACCGAAGTGAGTTAGCATAAGTGAAAGGGATGAGGATGCTGTCCCACAAAAGAAAGGAGGAAATCAAATAAAGTGCCCTGATGGCACGCGGTACTCTCTCGGCACAGACTAGGAAGCTTTTTTATATAGGAAAAAAATGGGGGAGTGGGGTGAATATCGAATACAGGCTACAAGAAAGACAAAACGTGACTACGAGAAAATAAATCCAACACATTCCAGGTGGCAAACTCCAAAGACTCTTACAACATTGGAAGGAGAGTAGAATCGTTTCCTTGAATACAATTGAGAAGGGTGCAAGTGACTGCAAAAAAAAATCTTCCGAGCTTTTGCTTCAATCACACTCTCCGAGATCAACGACCCTGGCTCAAAATGACACGGGCGCACCAATTACTCTACGCACTAAGATGTACTGACTGACAGCCCGTTATGTAGGGGTTGTGGTGAGGAAGAAGAAACACCACACCACGTCACTTGCCAATGTGCATCCACAAAGGCAAGGGAACCCCTACTTGCAAATGATTCTCCCTACCAAAATCCCGGACTTTGTTATTTTGTTAAAGATACAGGTATTTTTGAAAGGTAGATAATACCGGGGACCACAATAGACCAAAAGGTCGCATTGCATGAGCCAACTGGGACCACTCCTAGCACTATAATAAGTAATAAGAATGTTCCTTTTCAATCCTTTATACCCAAAATTCGCATATCCCCAATCATCTGGTTTTGGTCGACATCTTCTTTTAGTTGCAGGTACTTTCTGCTTATGAACCTGCCATGTGTAAGTCAATTGATTATCACTTTAATGGATCTTCAATATCTAATTCTTCAATTTTATGATTTTCCTTCTCATCTCAATTTTCGAGAGCAGAGATAACGAATGATTTTTGGATCATCGAGTTTGTAGATCTTCTTCAGAGGTAGACGCGTTTAACATGATACAAACGTTGAAAGTTTAGATTGTAAAGCAATATCGTAGTCGACGAAATGTAAGAAAGAGACGACAAACTGCTGTTCTTCGCACTTCCACTAGAGGAGTCATGGAGTTTTCTTACGAAAAGCACAAATGGGCGCATTTATTTCACGCAGAGAGAACTAAAATGGATAAGGACTTTTAGTTTTTAGCAGATCAGTACACGTTTTCATAATTTGCAGAGTGAACGATTCAAATATTTAATGTTAAAATATACCAATTGTCAAAATTAATGCAATTCAATAATAAAATTTGCACTACGACAGATAAAACATGTGATTGAGTCCACCTTTAAAAATGAAAGACAGGATTGATGAATGTATATTGTACACCTAGTGCCCGCCTATTAATTAATTCTGCAATATTCGCATACAATGAGCGTCTATCCTATACAGACATTTTTAGCTTCTTTTCAAATATTCCGTTCCACTTTCACGTTTCAACCAGTTTTTTTGTCTTCTTTATAATCTACAAAGTCCGCTGTCTATGTTTACACTGACGCTGCAACTTTTGAGTTTTTTTTTCTTTTCGTGAATAGTCTGTGTACGTTTCCTAGTAGGTACCGTTTTTTATTTACTTCTACCAATATTACGTAATGAAATATTAATGAGAACGTGCCCGTGCACTTTGATCAAACAAACTTAGATATTCCGATTCCATCTTAAAATTGTCTAGTTAAAACCATATCACGTTCTGGGTTGGATTTATATCAAGGTTGATATACGGACGGTTAACTCTAGCTGTATCCCCGTATATGCGAACTTTTTTAATTCAATTCACTCGTCTAAGTTCAATGTACATTCGACAATTACTGCCACGACCTTCCTTGATGTAAATTGAATTTTCCTAGTTTTTCTTTGGCATCTCTCGTGACACATTCAGTTTTAATTTCCATCAAATCAAATTTTTCTGGTTTACCCCGTGCCCGGATTACATGTATAAATCACAATGAAATTTACCCATGATATTGTTCTTATGGAAATTTTCAAAAATAGTAGAAAACAAGCTCTTGAGGGTCATCTGATGTACATTTAAAATAATTGTGTTGTGCTGTAATAAAGCACTATACAAGCGATTTTCAGTAGAATAAGCTAATGGAATTTTTTTTACGGAACTCCCGGTTATTTATCTTTTTTTTGCAGTTTCCAATTTTCTTTTGAAAAATATACTGAAAAGTGTCACTTTCTAGTTGTGTTTTAAATTTGCATATCACCCCGCTGCAACCATCAGTCGCAGGGAAACGGTTTGACAGGGTGTAATGGACGCGAAAAAGGCCAGTAGTAAATCTATTATTACAACCTATAATGTAGGTAGGTGTTATCGATTGAAATATATTTGGAATTATTGACACCCTAAAATAGGTACCATAGCGTGCACATCGTAGTAAAATCGTTAACCCTAAGTGGAAATAAATCTCGTATTCGACAATTTCGATGGCAGCCAATCGAAAATGACCTACCTGTAGCCTGAGATCGGTTTGAGTTGGTTGGTGTATCGACAAAGACGACGAACTCTGCGCTTCATCCAGCTCCAGCTCCGATCCCGAATTTGGGGAATGGAAGATGCTGTCGTGCGAAACGCTTAATCCAGGATGCATGGGCGTTCCGCTTCTAAAGTGAAACAGTCCTTCAGATCTCGATTGATGTGGAGGACGGGGTACGTACCTTCGTTTTTGTGCATCGTCCGTTTCCGATATTTCACTAGTAGACCTGCTACGTAGCGTTTCAGAGGTGACCGTATCCGAATTGTCGATAGTAGGTATACTATCTTCGGACGCCTTACTCGTTTTCCGCTTAAACCATTTTCGGGGATTCCAGAATTTCTTCTTTGATGCAACTGTAACAACAAAATACAATTGTTGATTTTTGATCTCGTTTTTGAACTATCACTGAAACACTAAGGGTCAGTTTTCGGGTCTCCACTTAGTTAATAAATTTTAAGATTTATAGGAATACTTTTCCAAGAGTTCTAATGAAACTACGAAACTCATAGAATTTTCCAAAATATTTCTGAAAAGGTTACTATGAAAATTTCCTAAATTTGTAGTGAAAGCTATTTTTTTCAGACCTTGCCAAAATTGGTTAAATTGTTTAACGGCATTAAATTTTGTTTTTATTTTTTTTAATTTCAAAGTAGGTACCATAATAATCTGGTATGTGGTTATTAAAGGCTCATCAGCTGCTAGGGCTATTTACGGTTCAGGTAAGCATTTAGTCACTATCTTTATTTGACTTAGGTAAGCATGGTCATTGACAAAAGTAATGATCGCCTAATCGGTAAACTCTGCACCATAAGCAACCAACATGCGTATCACATCGGACTCCGTCGGTTTCCTCAAGAAGGAGATAGGTACCTTAATTTGTTGGTTCGCATTTTCATGTTGCACACTATATTCAAATGTCGGTGCCGTATGCTGCAGGATTTACTTATTCGGCGATCATTACTTTTGTCAATGATTGTACATATCCATTACTATCCTTTCTCAGCCTTTATAGTGCGAAAAATGACGCGTCCCTACTATTCATATTCTATTAATTGCACCTACCAGTGCCCCCCGGAACCAGTTGGACCCTCCTGCAAACTCTAAATTGGTCATCTGCGCAGAGCCCGTTTTCGCCTTCTTATCGGTACCAGCATCTTACTGTAGATATTCTCTTTAATAAACTCTAATAGTTTATTCTCTCTTCTTGGCATAGTTCTTGTACATATTTATTGTTTATTCCATTTTCTAATGCTTTCTCTCTCGTTTCAGGGCAGTACCGAAGAGTGTGCTCGACTGTGACCACCTCCTCCCCACACTTTTGGCTTTGCGTACCCTGTGTGGATGCATACGGTAAGTTGTTTCCAGTCTCATTTCGACGTAGCCCACAGAATACCTTCATCAGTTGCCTTTTTTGATCTGCTTTATATATCTACCTCTGGATCGCGCTGGATGATTTCCACCACAGTTTACACATTTAGTTCCGTATGAGGCGGTTTTCCACAGTATACAGGGTGGTGACTTGCGTAACGCATCATAGGGATTTCTATGTAAAATTCATACTATGCGATTATTGGCTCCCCAAATTATTTTAGAGCTAAAAGGTATTAAGGTTTTTTGTAGAAAAAAAATTTTTACGGCAATCAACCGTATTAGTTTTCAATGTTTTTCATAATAAAGACGGAAAATTGGGAAAACAAAACCCCCCTCTTTTTCAATAATCTGTGATGCCATGGAATAATACAAAAACTACGCCAATATCCGTCATGCCATGGAATGTCTGCTATAAAACAAATCAAATTCTATCAAAAAAGTATTATATTTAGAACAGCGAATTCAACATAAAGAAAGACCAAATTACTAAAAACGGTTTCCTAATATAACAATTTACAATAAATGTTCGAATAAGTCACCATTAACTGCAAGACAGTAACCAAGTCGATCATAAAATCCATTTCGAACTGTTGCTAATTGATAACTGGATATATTTTTGTTTTTGAAAATTCCATGGCATCGCAGATTCTATTGAAAAAGATGCGGGTTTTATTTTTCCAATTTTCCATCTTTATATGAAAAAAATTGAAAACTAATACGGTTGATTGGCGTAAAAAATTTTTTTCTACAAAAAACTTTAATACATTTTTGCTCTAAAATAATTTGGGGAGCCAATAATCGCACGTTAAGAATTTTACATTGAAATCCCTATGATGCGTTACGCAAGTCACCACCCTGTATAGCATTCTGTGTGGATCCGTCAAGCTACACGTTTCGTGGTCGCTAGTCCACCACTGGCGCAGATAATGGAGGTGAAGTATGGACGACCCTCCCAGAACCCTTGGGACAGGCTGCTGAGGCTAGGTCATCAGTGTGGGATTTACGCAACGGAAAGTTGCCGACATCGCCATAAATGCCCCTTTGACGCTGGAGGGTCCGCGTGTTCAACAAGATCGTCTAACGCCGAGCCATTCATCCTCTCAGCACACTCTCACATTAGGATTTCGGGATAAATCGGAAGACTATAGAAAAATGTTCAGGATGAAAGGATGATGGTAGGAATCGCCGCCTCCCCTGCCCATTGGTCGCCTTTTACGACCTCCAGGACGAGAGTGGGCCAATTCTAACCCCGAACCCACAGGGGCCAATGTATAGATTTAATAGCAATTTCAATATTTGATAGTGTCCACACACCCCTAATTTAGATTTGTTCGTTTCCACCCCGATCACTTAAGGAAAGACTAAGTTTGAACAAATAAAGCGTAAGTGTATGAATTTTTTGGACGTTATTTAAGGGATGAGATTTGTAAATTTAGTATGAATTGCAATCTTAATTAATTGTGTGTGTAACGCTTTTTTGTTAATCTTGTTTAAGTTTAATATCCTTTAATTTGTTTTTTTTTAGGTTAGCGGTTAAGGTATTAGTATATTTAGTTTTTGTGCTTTCTTAGATTATTAATTGTCCTATAATTAGAATTTTATTCTGTAAATAATAAAAAATAAAATAAATAAATCGTATTATTATTATTATTATTGTTATTACGATACAGGTCGTTTCTGGATAGTTAGTCCTCAAGGAGATCTGGAACCCTATTGTTTTTGGTGAAAATCTAAAAACACGTTTCGAAAGTTTTCGCGATTTTCCGGGTTTTTCCGAATAAATGTTACTACATTACAGGGCGCACTTTCGATCAAGCCCAACATTTCAGGGTTCAGGTGGAGTGGTGCCCTATTGTTGGGCAGTGTGGCCAAAAATTAAATCTGCAATATACATCGTGTTCTCTGGAAAACTGAATTTATTGATATGTCACCTTAACAGTGGAAATCACTCCTCTGGAAAGCGCGCTACTCATTTCTTACGGTTTTAGCGTAGGTAGGTTCCCGCATTTATTTCCAAAAAACCTCATTATTTTCCGTCAAACAATTCGACCTAAAAGCGACGTACGGACGGATAGTCGTACCGTTGTTTAAAAAATATTTAAACAATGGTCGTACCGTTCCCATATTGTGTTTGCAAGTTGCAACACATAACAAAGTATAATGGATGGTTTGGGGCTGCCCACTTCATAAATCACACAAAAATACATAACCGATTCAGCCTTGCCATTTGTCTTCCAACAGTTCTGTTAAAGTAATTACAATTAAGAGTCAATTAATAACACATCACACAGAGAAAAAAAGTAATTTATTCCACGTCTGCCACCACCAAATCGCATTTTTGATCATAATTCATAACTATTCATTACCGGCAAATGCTGTACGTAACTGAATGCGTGTCCAATTTGCCAGAACAACATATTTTGATCGCCTTGTGCGTTCCTTTTTTATAACTCTTCAATTACTTTGGATTTTAATATAACAAAATTTAATGGTTGTCAAAATAACGCTCCCAGAAAATGACCGTATCATGGGAATTTCTGGCCAGTCATAAAATTGGCCAACTGCTCTAGTAACATAAAATGAGCATAGTAAAATAAATTTGTGGTTACATTGCAAAATATTTTAATACAGGTAGAGGAAAATTATAAAAAATTCCACCGAAATTGTTGCACAATGCACTTGAACATGGTCATCGGAAATGCGTAAAATTCACTATTAGGGATACAGACAAAGCGTCTGGAAATAGATGGAACACTTTTGTTAATCATGATTCTTTTTATGGTAGTTGGGATCAAATCTTTTGAAGTAAAGAATAAATTGAATTGAATACTATTTTAAGGGTGTAGGTCTTCAGTTTTGAATTTAAATATTAACGCGGTAGGTAACTTTTGCACCGACCTTAAAAGCAAGCCTTTATAAAAATGACCCTTACTTGGATCTCCCTGAAGTTTTTCCGTTGCCTGCGAACATATTTGTCAGCATCAAATTGTAACAATTTTTGGTAAATGGTAAGTATAGGCATATATGACATTTGAACGTTGTTAATACAAATAACGTCACGGTTTAACAATTTGGTTAGATGATCATTAGGTGTATTGTTAGTGTTACATACAACTAACCCACGGTTGAGTAGTTTCCCTTTATGAGTTCCAAATTTACCGCACTACGGAAACGTTTCGGATCTAATTAGATCATTTATCACCGGAAAAATTCGTGGAACGAATATTTTACCTACCAAACTAGGCCAAACATGAGGAAGAAATAAATCGACTAGAGAGCATGATTAATGAAGAAAATAGTGAAATCGTAAGGCACGATCTGTACGGACAAGAAAATTATTTCGCTTTTAGAAAAACACGAAAAATCGCTATACCCGATGCGTGAGCTAAGAGACTAATCCCTTGCAAGTGTTCCATTTAGATTAGGAATCGGATGCAAACGCAACGAAACAAATTATTAGGGCGAGACGGATAACGTAATATGTGAACGGATTAATTAAGTGGTCGTCTAATTAATAACGATTAGAAAATGCGAATTACCTAATGTGTATTTTCTTCTACTCATACTAACGCACAACTGACACTATTCATGCCCTTCTGCGAGCTTCGAAATGGTGGGACTGTCGGAATAGTGTTATTGTATCTACTGGTAATTGGATTGCGTTTAGCCTGATCATACCATTTTGCCGAACCACTCTTCCGTGAATAGAAACTTCTACCAATATAATTATTGTCATTAACCTGAACAGCCGTAGTACAGGCTTGAATAATTACGCAAAATTTTCACTCTTTAATCGTCGGCCGAGCGCGAGATAAATGGCGACACGATTGCTTTTAAATTGAACTATCAAACGTTTTTTTTTTGGGGAGAAGACTTAAACCACCCACCGTTTTGTCAATTAAGGACGTCGTCGTTGTTTTCACTTCTACTAATTGAAGTAATTGGTACATAAGCTTTCCCCAGCCACCAAGTAATAAAATGG